GGATAGAAGACTACGTGTTTACTTTAGATAGAAAACTACGTGTTTACTTCTTTCTTTATTTTTCTTTAATTTTGTCAACATAACTTCCACTTATAATGGTTTCCACTGAATCTCTCTGTTTCACGAATATCTATCCTGTTGGACATGGACTTCTATTAATAAACACTTTTAGATCAAAAGCCTCAACTTACTTCATTTTCGTAACCTTCTCTGAGGTTGAAAGTCAGATCGTGTAAGATATCATGACAGAAACTTTCAGCGAAATCGGGATAGAGTTTGAGTACTTCCATCAAGCCGGGTATAAAAATACATTTTAAATCGCAATAGGTTAGGGCTTTGACGTCACTACTGGATTTCATTACGGCATCATTTAGGTTGGCAGCGATGTCAGATCCAACAAGATCTCCCTTTCCTGTATCAGAAAAGATGGAAGAAATACACTTACAATAGGAAAAACAGAGATTTACTGTCGCTCAGTAAATATTGGTCACAGTACACGGATTATTTATTCAGTCTTATTCTTATACATACCCACCCTAACGAACCCTAAAAAATTTATAATAATCCAGATAGAGGAAGTCATGTACAGAGTTAAGAATAATACTTGATCCTTATTAGCTTGAGCTGCAAGAAATAATTAATTAAATAACCAGTGACGCACACAAAATAAAGGATTCATTAACTCAGCTATAAATAGAATAGAACATTATATAATAAATTAATGCCTTGCAAACCTATATTTGACTTGTAAGTATTAAGTTGTAATACGTGAAGATAAAACATGTTAAAAAAGTGGATTAAAAAAAACGTTCTTTCATAGACAAATGAACAACTTTGTTACTTTCTTGAGCAGGTAGGGTTAGGGTTAATCACGAACAAACCCAAGTTACATATTGGTGTTTTATCTTTTGTAAACACAATGTTTCTCAACAAGGTAGTCTAAAAGAAAGACTGAAACAACGTGACCCGAGCTTAAATACTTTGAAAGCGGATATCATGCTGTTTCTGTAGTGAAAAAACTAAAATAAATCCGTCTTAAGCTCATGTTCAATAAGGACTTACTTGTCACGTGACTGAAATCAATGGTGGGAATGTCAAACGCAGATAGAGGCAGTGGAAAACGAAACTTCGAAACGATATTGTTATATTCAGACGTTATAGGACTTACGAAAGTGTATTACCATGTGGGAAACGTTGGTTAACACATGGTGCTGACACCAAGGTCCAATGTCTTACCAGAAGGTGCCTGATGCTACCATTTACTCTTGTTTGTTAATTTGTTCACGTCTATTTTAAAATGATCTTTACATTCTCAACACCCACCCAAGATGGCGACGACCATTTTGTCCTGCAACACCTCCATAGAACCGTTGCACACAAAATATATGTAGCCTAAGGCGTCTTCTTTGTGGACTAAATATTCACCAGGTGCGCAGAAGTTACTCTTAATGTGACGAGATAGCTGTTGGAGACATCCTTGAGGGGCCGTCTCAAAAATAGGCAAGGATAGTATTTCTTTGTTCAGGTGCATGGAAACGTCCCCTCGTAGCTCGTCAGGAAATTCCCGTAAAACCTTCAGTATAGAAACAAAACAATAACAGGTTTCGTATTACAGTACAGTAATCAAGAAAATAAATAAAGATAGCGGGTAAAATTACGATAATAAGACTCTTAACACCGAACAATGATGCAAAACTAAGTAAACATTTCAATTTCTTGTTCGAAATACTAACGCCGGAAAAGCTTCAAGTAACTGTTTCGTGCGAAGAAAATAAGTTGTACTTTATTTTAAAACGATTTTAAAAGTAAAGTTTGGTAAATCTAAGATGAAATTCAAATTTCTGTCGTTTAATCGGATTTGAAAAATACGAAACTGACCAATTAAGAAGAATATGAGGAAAAAACGAAACACCTATAGTTAGGCCTAACAGGACATGTTGCCTCGGCATTAGAAGTCACACACACCTCTGTAATCCATTTAGTTGTTATAAAATTGTCCATAGAAATGTTAAACAGTTCTCTAAAATTAAAATTAAAATAAGATTGTAATGTGGAAGTGGTTTAGACACTAACCATTTGGACAAAATAGGTTATCACAGTATTTTAGTTTGTAATATTAGAAAGAAGGCAGAGAGCAACTGGGAAACATCAGATCGAGTCTTCTTTGATATGACAAGAATTTTCAATCGCAAGAAAGATTTTTCCAAAAAAGTACTAAATTATTTCATTTGTATAAATATAAATTTTGAGTGTATCAATTTTTTTAATTGAAGATAGGTATTTTGTTGGTATTGCGAAACGTTTTTAAAATATGATTCTCAAAACATATTGAATTCAACAAGTGTTAAGACATTTACTAATTTAAACCTAAAGTTACACAAATGATGTTTCCTTGTGCTTTTTCACTGTAGAGTAGAGCTTTTCATTTATTCCTTGATACTCTTTTATAAGTTTTACTGTATCTGTAAGATACTTAATACTCTTCATAAGTTTTTACTGTATCTGTAAGATCCTCAATGCTTTTAAAATTTTTACTGTATCTATAAGATATTTAATAGTCTTCATAAGTTTTTACTGTATCTGTAAGATACTTAATACTCTTCATAAGTTTTTACTGTATCTGTAAGATCCTCAATGCTTTTAAAATTTTTACTGTATCTGTAAGATCTTTGATACTCTTCACAAGTTTTTATTGTATCTGTAAGATCCTCAATGTTTTTACTGTATCTGTAAGATCTTTAATACTCTTCACAAGTTTTATTGTATCTGTAAGATCCTTAATACTCGTCATAAGTTTTTACTATATATGTAAGGTCCTTAATACCCTTTATAAGTTTCATGGATCTGTAAGATCCTTAATACTCTTTATAAGTTTATACTGTATCTGTAAGATCCTTAATATTCTTATTGGGTATTTACTGTATCTGTAAGATCTTAAATAGTGTTTATACGTTTTTACTGTATCTTTAAGATCCTTAATACTCTTTATAAGTTTTACTGTATCTGTAAGATACTTAATACTCTTCATAAGTTTTTACTGTATCTGTAAGATTCTCAATGCTTTTAAAATATTTACTGTATCTGTAAGGTCTTTAATACTCTTCATAAGTTTTTACTGTATCTGTAAGATCCTTAATACCCTTTATAAGTTTCATGGATCTGTAAGATCCTAAATAGTCTTTATACGTTTTTACTGTATCTGTAAGGTCCTAAATAGTCTTTGTAAGTTTTACCGTATCTGTAAGATCCTTAATACTATTTGTAAGTTTTTACTGTATCTGTAAGATCCTTAACACTCTATTTTACTATACCTTTAACATACTTGAAACTGAGGTTTTACTGTAAGAAGAAAGTAAATTGTTTACACGAATGAAGTGACTGAAATAGTTAAATAGTGTTTGAGAAAGTTTGCTGGTAATATTCATCACAACTGGCTTAACAGTACACAAAACTTATTGCGACGTTAGAATCACGAACACCTGCTATTTACAAAACCTTACTTCATTTGGATCAATTCCGTGGTTTAGAGACCACGTGGTTTGGAAGTAATCTGTCATTCGCTGTCGTAACTGCTTCGATATCTGATGAAGTGTGAAAAAGTCCTTGAGATCCCTTAGTTTTGTCTGGTACTGGGATCGTCTCGAGTACATACGTTGAATGATCGCAGTGACGTTTCCAAAAACTACTGCGTGCATTAAGGCTGCCAAAAAATAAAACCAAACGACAAACTTGTCAGTATAATGTATATGTATAACTGTATAGTGCGTTCGTAGTTAACCTTATGAAGTCTCATTCGTTAAAATACGAAATTAATTATTTTTTTCACACTTCACTTAATTAATTAATTCGAATCAGATTTGAAATCTGTTGTGGACAAAGTAAGAGGGATGCATAACAAAAAAAACCCAAAGAATCATTATTTAAACTACATCGTTAGGCCTAAAAAAAAAGCCCCATTGTTTCGCCAGCTTAGGCATTTACCAAGTAAAAACATTTTTTGTGACTGCTAAGCTACATAGAGCCCGTCTGTGCTAGCTCTCCCTAACTGATAGATTAGAGGCAGCTAATCAACAGCCCCCACCGCATACTCTTAGGGCACTTTAAGGATATCCTGTCAAAAGTGGGTTATAAAAACAATGTATGTTAAATTCTTTCAAATGTTAAATGTTTTGCTTTTCTTTAAAGAAAACTAACAAATACGAAGTGAAGGCTGATGAACTATAAAAAATTATAGTTACATGTCACTTAAAACATGGAGTTAGTAACGTATCACTTAAAACATGGAGTTAGTAACATATCACTTAAAACATGGAACCAGTAACATGTCACTTAAAACATGGAGGT